AACATGAACTGAGTGATGCGACTGGCGTCTTCGACGTTAAACGATTCCAGGTACTGAATCCGTTTATACGGGTTCTGCAGAACTGAACAGGCTGAGCTGAGTTCTTGAAGGAGGCAGGATTCGGGGAGAATTAGTTCCTGATAGGGAAAAGCGTTGATGTCCGGATGTAGGCGAAAGAAAAAGCAAGCAGGTGGAAACTGTTGTTCGCTGCTGACCAATTGGCCTGAAAAAGTTGGCCTGAACTCGAGAATGGACTCGTATTTGCTCGCCTGGAAGAGGCTGAGTTGTGAATGACTGTTTGCCGTAGATGGACTGTTTAGCGAGTCCAAATCAAGGTAGTCAAGGTGCTCAAAGTGGTCGGGATCAGTGTTGTTGTTGTTGTTGTTGTTGTTNGTTGTTGTTGTTGTTGTTGTTCGAATCTGACTCCTGCATTAGAATCTCTTCGGTAATGAGATTGTCAAACAGTAGCTCATCAGAGGAGGTAATAGACTGCTCTATTCTCTGATCTCCATTGTTGTTGTTGCTGTTTGATGGCGGCTGCAAATGAGCTTCCTGAAAGGAGCTATTTGCGGGTGTGGGCGTAAAGATTGAGGGAACTATAGAGGCAAGAATGTCCATGTCTGCTGGTGAGGAAGTGGCAGCATTGATGGGAAAAGAGGTAGTGCACTCGGGAGTTGTGCTGTCTGGTGGCAATGAAGAAGATGAGGATGGCTCAAAAGAGTTATTTGGTTGTGCGTTCATGCCCATAGCCGCTGCCCATTGCTGCCCTTTCAACTGCTTCTCTAGGTCCTCCTGTCGCTTGATCTTGTTTAGGCGTATCTTCTCTCTAATCTTCTCGCGCTCTTCCTCAGAGAGAATCCACTCTTTTCGCATCCCGACGGCGAAACAGCGGCGAAGGCGACACTTTGTACAGAAGCGACGAGTTATGATGTCAATGGAACAGTTGTCATTGAAGGGACATGTTAGCTCCTGTAGATTAAGGAACCGACAAATTAATGGAATGAAAGAATGCACTGCAGGAATGCACCTCACCTTGTTGGAAAGTGCATTGCGCCGAAAGAATGCCTTGCAGGACATGCAGCTGGCGCAGCCAAAGTTGATTCCTGTAAAAAACAAAAATAGTAGTTAAACTTAAATGAAATTATAAACTTCCCTCTAAAACAACCTTTCGCTTTATCTGAGCAAACTAAGCAAGTTTTGGCAGTTCCCGGACGTCGACCCATTTTTTTCAATGACTTGTTATTTAATTGGTATTTTCAAAAAAATAGTGCAGTTATTGCAGATGATGTTGTGGCAATGAAATGCAGTGGCAACAAGTTGTGCAAAAGAATAAATTTTTGCAAACAAAGTGAGAGCGTGCACTGTCAGTAATGTTTTATGCACAGAGTTGGAACAACACTATTTTCACTAGAGTGAGTGTGCGCTATCTAATCTTTAAAGTCGGCAAAGCAGTTGAGTGTACGGTGGTGCACCGATGATGCAGCCGCCGCTACAAATGGACTCACACCACAAGAGATCACGTTTGCAGCTGTATACTCACTGAAAGTGTTGATAAGACTGTTTCCCTTTACTTTGCCTAACACATGACAGCAGTTGTGTTGAGTGGCAAAAAACAGCAAAAACAGAAAGCAGCAGCATTTTCTATTTGGGTACATTTGTTTGCCGGTGCAAGTCGAGTATGCATCTACAGTGAAAACTGCCGACAGAACAAGCCGGCTGCACTTCTATGATCAAAAGAAAATGTAAACAGACGACATACACACATAGAGGCAACCAGTTTATCTAGATTATACCATTAGAAGAAAAAGTAATTAAAAGTCTCTTTTTTAGTTTATTTTACAGTAA